GCCCGTGCGAACGCTTGAGCACGCGGGTTAGTCGATGCCATAAGTCGAGCCCTCTCTCGCTCTAGGATGTCGCGTGCCGCATCCGGAGACCCAGCCGTCGTCACTCTCTGGGGCTGCGTGAGACTCTCTCCAGCCGTGTCGTCCGTCGATGGAGCGCGATCCCTCGATGTCGCCCCGCCGCAACTAGGTGAAAGGCCCATCGACAAATCTAAGTCCAAGTGGCTCCCCATCTGCGTATCCGACACCCCCACCCCCCTCGCCACACCTGGGGTCATACCCGCCATGACCGGATCCTACTTCTCCGTGAGGAACTGCTGCATGAGGCGCTCGTCGCCGCCCCCACGTGACACCTCCGTCTGTGCCCCTATCTCCTCCTCCACTGCTTCTGGCATTCCCCCCTCCACTGCATCTGCTCCTCCAGCTGCTCCTGCTGCTGCAGCCACAAGCCCATCCAGTGCAGCTGCTTCTCCAGCTGCTCCTCCAGCTGCTCCTCCCGCTGCTCCTCCAGCTGCTCCCGCCTGCCCCTCCACTGCATCTGCTCCTCCTGGCGCTGGTGCCTCCTCCGCCAACACTGAAGCTGCCATCTCCTCTACCAATGAAGCCGCTGCTGCTACAACTATCTGGTCCACCACATCTGCAATCGTCGTGTCCGCCAATCCCCCCTCCACTGCCAACTCCCCCTCCACTGTTGCTGCCGACGGTCCCCCCTCCTCCTGCAAGACTCCCGGAGAAGGTGATTGTAACCTCTGCTGTCGGACTACCCCGCCTCTGTGGAGTAGTCCGCGCTGAGGCAAAGAGGGCGCCAACTCCTCCGTGTCCCCTGCTGCTGTGGTCGGCTCATATGGCGCGACGGGCGATGGCAGTGCAGGACTCGGAGTAGAAGGTGGCGGCATGGACGACTCCCGCCTCGTCGGAGCGGGGCTCGTCGCCCGCGCTCCTGTGCCGCCCGTGGAAGCGACCTCCCCGAACGGTCCCCACAACTCCTCCTCTCCCCCCATCATCTCCCTCTCCGCCGTGTCTCCCGCCCGTCGTGCAGTATGCGCCCTGGTCTCCTCCTCGGGATCCAGGTGCGTCTCGTCGATTTCACGGGGAATGCGGAGCGCGGGGTGGTCCGCTGCCTTGGGTACCGGCTCCTCGTCGGAATCATCCTCCCTGGGGTAAGGACGGAAAATAGAAGCACGTCTACCGAATACGGCCTCAGCGGCGGGTGGTGCGGAGACCCCGATGGGATCCCGGGTGATAAGTGCAACCTGACGGGCAATCTCCTCCGGCGTCATACCCTGCGCGTGCCCGTGCGCACTGGCTCCAACTCTAGTCCGGCTTGGCAGTCTAGCATGCCCTCGTCCCACTGCCATGGCAGCACATAACTGCACCCAGCCCGCCGATACTCCGACAACCGCACATTTGCGGTGATCTCAACGAGCTGAACGACCTTCTCAAAGGCCAGCTGGTTGCGCTTCTTCGTGTGAATGCCCTCGTGGACTGCCCAGTTCCTCTCCGCTGGAGAGGCGCAAGACCATATGTGCATCACACGAAGAGCGCAGCGCTGCAACTCAGGCACGCCAGACCCGTACCGAGACCACCAGGACGCGCACTCAATCGTCTCCCTGTCGCCGCTGCAAGCACGCCCACGAGCACGCCCCTCCCCCCCTCCCCAATCCCCAAATGTTCCCTGCTGCATGTGGAAGTTCTCAAACTGCCAACATGCAATGATGTACTCCATACCATCCTCCTCGAAACCCGTCTGCGTCAAAATGTACCTCCTGGCTTGTCTTACAAGCCAACGAGGGTAATCCCTCACCTCGCCCAAAAAGTACTCAACATGTCGCCTGCGGGGGTTCAGTAAGAACCCCGCGCAGTGAGCAGGCTCCAGCATGTGTTGTGTGCGAGCCTGCACACGCCTGATGATGCGGATAGCGAAAACCCTCCCCAAAGGAGCGCATGCATCAGTGACACGGCGGACAAGATCCTGTGTCCACTCGATCATGAGGGACATGTACTGCCCCCCACGATCCATCCGCCTAAGCAGCTCCATGACGGGCTGCATGATGTGGACTATGGTGGCCATCGTGTGCCACCAAGGCTCCTATCTGATCTGCCGGCGCACCCAACGCGCCATGTCGCAGACATCGGCGGACCACGGTATAGAAGCAAACTCCCGCCCGTCATCCTCTCACATCATCGCCTACAGAGCGTCCTGCAGGGCCAACAGTCTCTCCAACATAGAATAAACAGACGCGAACCGCATCTCGCAAGAAAGCACAAGCCCCTTGTTGGGGCTGCGCTTCCTAAAAAAATAAAGGGCGGCCTGGTGGGTTTTGAAAAACACCACCAGAACACGAGCGTGTGTAATCGCGTCCACAAACGCGTCGCAACTCGTCCCCATGTCTGACAACAATTTGTTGCAGACATGGACGGAACATGAAAGCCAAGTGATCCTCCTGAGTGCAGGAGGGATGGTCGGCGAGGTCAATGCCCTCGCAGCCCCCACGTACGCCGATGCGGAGTCTGTGCATATCGCATTGACCCGCTGCGGGCCGCCGAAACTAAACTCGTGGAAGATGGTCACCCATCTCCGAAGGACGTGCACTGCATCGTCCGGCTCCCCCTCGCGATTGATCGTCGTGTACACGGCGACCCCTCGCGAGCCGGCGGCAAGGAAATTCACGATCGGTCTCCCGTCTCGTGATTTCCTCCCGTCGGAGAGGGGGGTGGCACCAGTGATCCAGAATGGCCGCCTCACCTCCTCCAACTCCTCCGCCAGCTCCTCACGGTGGGTCTCCACCGCCTGCATACTCGCAATCTCGTTGTGGCTGGGGAGCACAGTGCGCGGGGAACTGCGAGGCTGCTCAAGGACCTGTTGGTATGCCTTCCAAGCCTGGTTACAGAAGACATTGAAGGGGACCCCGCTGGAATAGAGCCAGCGAAGGAATGTCTTCTTATGGCGAGCAACCCACTCGCCACCGTAGACGTTAGTGACCTTCTGCTGGCGAAGCCTCTTCCCAGCTGGGGCGGCGGCCGGATCTGTTCCACCTTCCTTCCTCTTGGAAGAACCCTCCCCTACAGGTCCCTTGGCTGCTCGCCTCAAAAAGTCCTCCATCCTCTCCCCAGTGCCTGGATAAACCTCAGGCACGTCCTCGTGTCTCGGGACTCCCTGCTTGCCCGGGACACGCGCCTCGCGATCGACGTCGATCGCGCCCTCCTCCGTGTCTCCACCTCCACCATCTCCCCCGACCCCTCCTGACGCTCCCTCCACGGGCTGCCGCCCCGCCTCTCCTCCCCTCACACCACCCGTGCCAGGCACATCGACTCCGCGCTCCGCCGCGTACCTGGCAACCCTCTCCATTTGATCGCTCTCGAACTTCTGTTGACTCCGTCGCGCGATCTCGTACAAAGCCTCGTCGCTGACGTCCTTGCAATAGTTCGTCTGCGTGAAATGCCTCGTCGC